ATTTCTTGTGATGTCATAGTATACACTCATCTAATGAACTAAATATGAATTAGGTTATGATTTTAAGCCATAGATACAAAAAGTGTAAATATTGAATACTTTAGATAGTCAATTTTGCTATCTTTTTCCTAACGCAATAAATTAATCAATCAATAAACTACTCAGTAATTAATAAATTGTATGTTGCATTTCAAGAAATGTAGATCATAGTGGTTTGAATTTTTTTATTTGTTAATTGATAAAGGATAGTAAAAATTTAAAACTATTTTTAAGATACTTTGATGATTAATAGAGTAATATAATTTTATAATTGTACATAAATAAAGGATAGTAATAATTTGATATATTGAAACTGTGCCAAAATATATATTAACTTAACTCATTTTAAATTTATATTATAATTATATACTCTCTCTGACTCAAAAATTACGTACTTCCCCTAAATTTTTTCTTGTCCCACAAACTTATTTCATTTTCTATTAAAAATACTTTTACATTTATTAATTCTTAACCTAAATATCACTAGTTTGCAACGTACGGTCGGCGTATTATTAGAAACCTCTATCATCGACCTTTAGAGGGATTAGAAAATACTTCTGCTAAACTTGCCTTCTTTGTAATTTAGAAATTATAAATATTTACTTATAATAAAATAAATAATTCACTAACTGCTTTTTTTTTGCACGTGAATACAATAAAGAAAGCGGAGCATCGACTCGGTAAAGTTCCCGGAGCGGTTGCTGCAGAGGTTCGAGACAGCCTAAGGGGTGCATTAGAAAGTTCCCGGAGCGGTTGGTGCTACACAATTTGACACACACGGTTTGGGTGATGATAACTTCACATTCTCGTCAATGCCGCATGACTATAATAACATGCCAGTGACGGATTATTGGTTCGGTCGTGAATTTAATTAATTTTATTGTAATCATGGATTTTTGTAATTTGTAATATTTTATTTTTGGGTCATGTAATGGATTCTACTTTCTTTTACTTAAAATATTTTTTTCTTTTAAATTTTTGTGTCATGTAACTCTACTTTATATTACTTAAAAATTTTTTGAAATGAATAGATTTAAATCTTATAGAGGGCCAAAATATTTAAAAATTTGAAATTAAAAATTTTGGAGGCCAAAAAAGAGGAAGAATTCAGAGAATAAAAATCTGGAAAATTATAATTTTCGAAATTTTAAAAAAACTGTCAGAATTTCGACTTTTACAAAGCCAAAAAAATTACAAATTTTACATTTTAAAAATTTCGGCTTTTACAAAGCCAAAAAATTTAAATTTTGAAAGTTGGGTTTGTTAAAATTTAAGTAAAAATAGTTTTGTGAAAGCCGATTTTCAAAAAATAAATTTTTTTAAAAAAAAATTTAAGAAAAAACGGCTTTGTGAAAGCCGATTTTTTTAAAATTTTTTTTTATAAAAATCGGCTTTGGTAAAGCCAATTTTCTCTGTAAGGAAATTCATGCTAAAAATTTTCCCTCTGCGGGAATTAATTCCTCTCGCTGGGCCTGTGGGCCATCGCCAGATGTTGAGTGGGGATCGCCATGACGTCAAGGTCGTTGTCGCAAGTGTTGGTTGGTGATGTACTTGCGGACAAAGGCCGACCGTAGGTTTACTGCCGAGTATGACTATAATTATGAGGCGTCCCTTCGATTCAAAAGCTCTGCCATGGTTTACCCACTAGGTCGTGTGTGATTCATTTTCCTAAGACTTATTTAGCTTTCGTGCTGGGCCTGTTAATTGCTGGGTCATATACCTCCAGTCTAGAGTATTCATCAATCACATTGCTAAATTGCAAACTCTTATTTGGAGATTAAAAATATGTAAGTCATATTTTATACTTTTCTTTGTTTTGATCTTATTCTATCTTATCCTATCCTATATTTATATGTAAAAGAGAGTTCATTACTTATAGTGGAGACATGTGGCATATGACATGTCAAAATTCTTTATCCACATGACATAGTATCTTCATTTTATGGGTCCAAATGACATTTATAAGTTTATTTTTTATTTGAAAAAAATTCATGATTATTGTATTTAATTACCATAAATTTGTATATATATAAAACTTTTCATATTCTAATTATTATATTAATATGTCCTTAATAAATTTAAAATATATTTTAATATCTTATAATTAATTAATTACTTTTTTTAAAGGTTATATAAAATGTATTAAATTTTTTAAAAGACAACTCTTTGTTTAAATTTTTACACCATTCTCCTTTTATTCCATTTTAAAAATATATATTTATATGAAATATAGTATATTTGCGTCATTATTAAAATTATAATTTTATTTTAAAAAATTTTGCATAAGCATTAGTTAAAATTTTATTTCATTTCTTATATATTTATTCATTGTATCTTCTATTAAAAATATCATATTTAGTAGTTAAAACATATATATGTATATGCACATACCAAAGTTAAAATATCTATTATTATATTCAATGGCTAATACTTTGCATAAACCTTTTCATTTTGTAGTATTATATAAATGTTCTAACGAGTTTAAAATTCAAAAAAAATTAAGCTTTCAAACTATTCACCATTTTTTCTTTTTATTACCTTTCAAAAACAATAATTATATAAATTTTTAAAGCAGGGAAAACATTGTTGAAGTACAAATTTTATTTCAAAAAATATTGTATCTAATAGTCTTGCTACTACAAGATATCATACGGAGTATCCAAATTGAAAAAAAACAAATTGTAATGCATATCATATTATTATTATTAAAAAATTAAAATAAATAAAACTAAATTTTAATTCATATTATGTTTATGTATTAATTGAAGTTTTAAAAAAAATACAAAATGCTACTCCCTCCGTCCCAATTTAAATCGCCTGTTTTGATTTTTGAGCATATTTAAAGAAAATAAAAAATAAAGTTGATTTTTCCGAAATTGCCATTACTTTTTAGAAGAGGTGATGATGAATGAGAAGATAAGGTGAAGAAGAGTGACTTATTTTAGGGGTAGTTTAGGTATTTTATTTTTAAAAGTTTACGAAAACAACTAACATGCAACTTATTTTGGGACGGAGAAAAAAGGCAAACAGGAAATTTAAAATGGGACGGAGGGAGTAACATATAATATCTATGTTAAAGGGTAAAAGTATGATGTGATAGGTAGGGTATGAAAAAGTAAGGGTAAAAGTGGTTTTTTAATAGAAAGTGAAAGTGTTTTGTTGGAAGTGAAAAAAATGAAAGAAGAAGTGTTTTTGAGAACGAAGGGAGTAGAAAAATATGCGAGCCTGTGCGAAGCACGGGGTAAAAACTAGCTAGTTTATGGTATTAGCTTCAAAATATTCCACTTTCCTTGTTTACTATTCCCATAAAAAAAAATAACTTTTCATTAAAAAGTCTATTTTACCTCTCTTAACTCTTATCCAATCTATTGTATAATTTCTATTCACAATTAATATACTTATCACGTCATATTTTATACTTCACATTTAATTAAAGTGTAAAATTGAATTGGAAAGTTAACTACTACTCCCTCCGTTCCACAAAACACTTCCGTTTTAATTTTTTGCGCAACCCATAAAATACTTCTATCCCACCTAAAATGTCAAAAATACCCCTAAAACTACTTCTACCCGCAATAAACTACACAGTCGGGTATATTTTAGATATTTTAGGTGGGAGTAAAAGCGTTTAATGAGGTGCGCAAAAATTTAGGGCGGAAGGGTTTTAAGGAACGGAGGGAGTATTATATTATCTCGATAATTTTTGTTTGTTTATAAATTTTTATTTACCATGTGATAAAATAATTTTTTTCATCACTTCTTTTTTTTGTTAAATTTTTGATGTATTTTTGAACAAAAAAATTACTCTTTCTAACTTCAATTTTCTGTTAAGAAGTCACAAAACTCATATATTTGAAAAATATTTTAAGGGTGCTTAAAATTTGTGGTAATATACATTCCGTCTATTTAGCTATTTATTTTAAACAAAAATTTAACAGAATACTTTATTTTTTGAAGTAAAATATGTATTTTAAACAAAATTTAAAAATTCTTTAATTTTTAAAAATATAAAGTTTAAAATATATTATTAATGTAATAAAATAATTTTTAATTCATATTTTTTTCTTTTAATGAAAATATAAATAAGGAAATGATTTTTTTATAACTAAGATAATAACTACTCCCTCCGTCCCAAAAAGATTTACACCTTTCAAAAAAATTGTGTCTCACAATCTCCTACCCATTTCTATTAAAAAACCTTTTTTACCCCTTACTTTTTCAAACCCTACCTATCACATCATATACCTTTTTCCTTATAATCTAAACATCACATCCTACTTTTATCCATCATATCAAGGGTATTTTTGGAAAGTCAACACAAAATATCCCTCCCTTAATTTCTACTTTAGTCAAAATGGGTAACACTTTATGGGACGGAGGGAGTATTTAACTTAGAAATTGAAAGATTTTATTAAAATATAATAAAATAATGATTATTCAATGCAACAATTTAATAAAATGGGACACACGAGTTCTAAGCAGAAAATATGAGGTACCCCAGTGTAATTTTTCGGTGTTTAATTGGTTAAGCTAAAATAACTTTCAATCTCAACGAGTAAATTGATTGAAGTGAAATTTGCACTGAATATGACTAAAATACAAGTCATTTTCCTAATGTATGACTAATAGATAATGACCAATGGTCCTACATTGAGAAATAAAAACATATGGTCCTATATTGAGAAAGTCATTATTTTTAGTTTTAGGTAAATTACCCATTGATGAAATCTACTTTCGGAGTACAAGACCCGAGTAGTTCTTATTTTTATACAATTTGTAATAAAAATTATTTTAAAAGTCAAAATATTTTGCATGTTATTCGAAAAGTGACATGGGCTGAAGGAAGTACAAAATATACACTCATTACATTTTCCAAGAGTAAAAAAGAGAACAAGAATTATTAACAATTTTTTTTTTAAAAAAAAATTTCTTTAGATAAAAAGAAAAAAATTACACGAGTGATTTTTGTACTAAGTTGATTTATCAGGGAGTACTGCAGTATTATTTTTTTCTATATCCATCTCATTTTAAGATTCACAGATTGGAGTTGCATGGAGAGCCCCTCATAATCATCAATCTTTATGATATAGAGATGTACTCCTTAATAATTTATGTATTCAAACAATTTAGTTTGGCAATTCCACGGGATACTTATGAATGCAATCTTCCCAGGGACTGTTTGGAGAGGGCTTCACATCGCCCAGAGCTTTCCAAACAGCACTATTGCATTTGAACCCGCTACCAAACGCAATCTGCCACACTCTGTTTCCCTTTCGGATCCTCCCCTTGGCCTCCGCGTAGGCCAGCTCGTACCAGATGGAGCTGGACGACGTGTTCCCGAACCGGTGAAGCGTCATCCTCGACGCTTCCACGTGGACCGGCGAAAGCCGGAGGTTCTTCTCGAGCTCGTCGATCACCGCCCTCCCGCCGGCGTGAATGCACACGTGCTCGAACGCCAGCTTGAAGTCCGGGATGTATGGCCGGATTCCGGCATTCCTGAAGAGCTTTCTAGCGACGAGCGTGGCGAAGAACATGAGCTGCTCGCTGATGGGGAGCACCAGCGGGCCCAGCGTCGTGATGTTCGACTTGAGGGCGCTGCCGGCGATCCCCATCAGGTCCTTCGACAGGGACACCCCCGTTTTCCCGGCGGTGTCCTGTTCCTGGTAGACGCACTGGAAAGCCGTGTCGTCCGCACCCTTGTGGGTCCGGACGACGTGGACGAGTTTATACTTCGCGCGGTGTCTGTCTGCAGCCTTGTTGGACAACAAGACTGCAGCAGCACCGACGCGGAAGAGGCAGTTTGGGATCAACATGGACTTGTTGTTCCCAAAGTACCAGTTCTGGGTGATGTTCTCGGTGCTGACGACGACGGCGTAAGTGTTCCGGTGAACACGCAACAAGTCCTTCGCCAGGTCGACTGCGACGACTCCGCCGCTACACCCCATCCCACCCAAGTTGAAGCTCCGGACGTTCCCTCTGAGCTTGTACCTGTTCACAACCATGGCTGAAAGCGACGGGGTGGGATTGAAGAGGCTGCAATTCACGACGAGGACACCTATGCCCCTGGGGTCGATGCCGGTGTCCTGGAATAAGGAATCCAGGGCACCGAACATGACCTGCTCGGCTTCGGCCCGAGCCGAGGCCATATTAATGGTGGGCGGGACTTGGTGCATGGCTTCGGGGAGGTAGGTATCCTCCCCGAGGCCGGACCTTTCCAGAATCTTCCGCTGGAAATCGAGCGACGAGTCGTCGAAATCCCCGGTGAGCCTGGAATGGTCCATGAACTTGGTGTAAGAGACCCGGAGGTGATCCGGGGGGCGGTAGCAGGAGTAGTCCACGAGAAAAACGGATCGCGGACGGGTCATGACGAAGAGGGTGGATCCGGATACGAGGAAAGCGGAGAGTACGAGGACGGCGACGAGGTTTTGCCGGAGATGTCGGGACATGATGACCAGCAAATCTTGGTGGTGGATGAAAGCGAGGACAATGAGCGGGATTATACATAGGGTTAGAAGGTGTGAAGTCAGGAAACGGTAACCCAATTTCGCATACTTGAGATGGAGGCTGTGGTTGATCATATGAACCACGGTGGTTGCGCCGCCGCCGTGGGAGGGGACTCGAGCGGTGGAGGAATTGTCCATTGTGTTACTAAGAAGGAAAGAACGGTTATGAGGTGTGTGTGTATTTATATACAAGTTATAACGGGGGGAGAAGATGAGATGGCCACAATATAATTAATAGGGAAATGGTGATTATGTCAAAGTTTTTGGATCTGACTTGACTTTTGGTGATGCATGAATGACTGACTTTTGAGGTAAGCAGAGTAAATGAGTGGGTTGTGGGTTGGGGGGCGGCATGCCGGCATGCCTGTGATGCCATCATACTTCATTTTAGAGTTTGGATATACTCCCTCCTTCCTATAATGTTTTTCCCGGTCATGTTTACGAAATTTGACCGAGTTTATTTTCAATTCAAATTATTTGATTGTAGGTATAAAATTAAAAAATAAAATTTATATATTTAAAAGCTAAATTAAAAGTTCTACAAAACAAGTGGTGACAAGACTATATTATTTTATTAAATACCTAATGAAAATATGTAAAGAAAGTGATTAAAGTTTCACCGTGTAAAAAGTAAGTGGGAAGAACATTTTAGGACGGATGAAGTACTACATACCTTGTGCAAATCCGGCCCGCCCAGCCCGCCCTTTAAAAAGACAGATATAGATAACTTTTAATGCCCACATGGACGGACTGGCTCGAGCCCGAATTGTATATGGGCTTATCTGAAAGATACGTTTAGCCCGTTCGGGTCAACAGGTCCGCTCATTTTCATCAAACACATTTACTTTGTTATGAATTACCTAGTCCATATAATTTTTAATATTTTCTATAGTTGAGGTATAATGACCCAATCCGTTCACCTCTCTTAAACAAAAATGAATAGTGTTTTAATGAATTAGTATGATGTGTTTATTAATTACTCCGTATGTAAGAATACTTCTTTTTTCCTTCTGTGTAAGTGTGGTGACTGACTGGTGATTTTTTCTAAAACATTGAAATCTTTTTTCAATATTTTTTTCCGAGCCGGGTGGCTCGGCGGACACTTCAACTCGTAAGGTGGGTATGGGTAAAGCATTTAGCCCATTAGTTCTAGGCCGAGCAGGCCCGTTCCGCCTATGTAAATCGGCTAATAACTTGTATTAAACCCAGCCCAGATCCAGGTTTGCACAGGTCTACTTCCTTCCCTCCCAATACTTCTTTTGTCCAATTTAAATTTTTCGAAGTAATTATACATTTTTTTATGCAAAATTGTATTAGAAGTTTCATTTAATTGAGATTTAATATTTAGTTCAATTTAACTCGAAAAACATAAACCAGACAAATACATTGGGAGAGAAGTAACACACCACTTTACACCAATAAAACTATTCCTTGACTACTTGTAGGAAACTATTTCCCTAGTCCTGTTTAACACTTTAACCTTTAGGTCTTATTCTTTTAGGTTGAAAAATTTAATTTCCATTTTTTCAACTCTTTCCAAACTCTTTTAATTTCTTCCAATTTTTCCAACAATGACTTAAAAAAAATATTTATATATGACGAATATACAGTAAAATTATATATCTAAGTTTATAACATATCACCTCAAGCACGGACAATGATGAAATCTTTTTTATCCAAAATTATAGTTTTCTTATATATTTATTTGAGGGATCATTTAATTGAGCAAAATTTGAATACTTTAATTCCTCCAAATTTTTTCAACTCCTGCCAATTTTTTCCAACTCATTCCAATTTCTTCTAACTTTTTCTAATTTCTTCCAACATCCAATTCTAAAATTTCAAAACAAAAGTACAGGGCCTTTAACAAATACGGAGTATATATCAGTGTATATGTTTAGTTGGTGATTTTTCATATGAAAAATTGTCTGTACCACCATCAAATAGAATTAATGCCACCATCAAATAGAATTAATGCTTCTGTCTATGAGTATTTGTCCACTATTGATTTTTTTGGTTAAAATTTATAAACTTTGTCCTCATATTAAATAAAAATGATATTTGATATTGATACAAAAAGAGTTTTATTTGATTCATTATATAACATATTTTAAAAATATTATTTTATCTAATTAATATGCAATATACAATTTATTCAATTATAGGTCTAAGCTTGAAAACTGTTGATTGAAAAAAATCAAATCTGGACAAATATTCAGGGACAGATGTAGTATTTAATCTAGATTTGATTCAATTTTTGTAGTACTTTTCTAATTCAGTTTTATTCAATTCAACTATTATTAGTACTTTCAAAAAAAATTAAAATGGAACTTGAATACTTGCTATTTGGTAAAAAAAAGAAAATGGAACTTGAATACTTGCTATTTGATGTGGCATTTTTGCAAAGATGGTACCACCACCACTTGCTATTAGGTAAAAAAAAATGAAATCGGTAAAATAGTCTACCATTGATACTAGACGGCTCCCTTCTTCGTTCAATGGTAATATTAATATTTTAAAATAATGATTACAAGTTTTATACTCATTTAATTATTTAAATCATTATCTTAATTTACTCTGCATTTTTTCTAGTAGTGTTATACTTTCTTCATCCCACAGGAACTTTTCTGTTGACCTTTAGAAAATTTAAAGGAGTGATAAATTTGTGTTGATTTTCCAAAAATATCCTAGATGTAATGGTAAAAATAACATGTGATTATTAGATAATTAGTAAAAAAATATAATATGAAAGGTAGGTTAAAAATTAATAGAGGTAAAATAGTTTTTATTAGAAAAAAGAAAGATTTTGTAAAACAAGAAAAAAAGAAAAGGAAATGAATATTTGGGACGGAGGGATAATTAAGTTTTTTGTTTTGAATTGTATTTTTTTCTATGTATTAGTGATGTTTTTATGTTTTTATTACCGAGTATTATTTTGGATTGTTTTTTTTTTAATTTTATGTAGTATTGTATCTTCGTTTAAATCAATAAAATTTTATTGTGATGTTATCGTGTTAATTAGATATTTATAATTTGTTACTCCCTCCGTCCCATTTTAAATTGCCTGTTTGCTTTTTTTCTCCGTCCCAAAATAGGTTGCCTGTTAGTTGTTTTCGTAAACTTTTAAAAATAAAATACCTAAACTACCCCTAAAATAAGTCACACTTCTTCACCTTATATTCTCATTCACCATCACCCCTCCTAAAAAGTAATGTCAATTTCAAAAAATCAACTTTATTTTTTATTTTCCTTAAATATGCCCAAAAGTCAAAATAGGCGATTTAAATTGGGACGGAGGAAGTATTTATATTTCAAAAAATTGTTTTGACCAAATAAAAGTGCAACGACTTAAAAATAGCTAACATGTATATACACAGAAGTGTTACGGGGTGCGTTTTCATTTCCCCAATGTGCATATCTGGGAAGTCGACGATCTCGGTGGAGCTCTGCAACCAGTGTTTCACATGGAGGAGAAGCTTAAAGATATCGGAAGTCCACCGGCAGCAACCCTCTCAACCCCGCAGAAGGCGGCGGAGGCTCCACCTGCGGACCAACCCACTTCTCGGAGAAGGGGCGGTGGTCAGAAGAGGAAGGCAAGCGCCTTAGGCAGCGGTGCAAGTTCGGCTCCTCCTTCTACTTCTTCGAAGCGCCAGGCTAGAGAAAAGAGTCCTGCGGTTCCCTTCCCTCCGATCCACCACGGCCCGTGCACCAGAGCTCGACAGCTGCCCAGCAACACCGCATCTGTGTCGTCTCCATCAAACTCAGGTGTCAACAGCGAGGCAAATGCGGCGGCGCATCCAACAGCAGGACCAGAAGAGGTTGAGAAGGCCGAGGATGTGGCAATTGAAGCGAAGGAGGATTTGGAGGCAATTGAGGCAAAACTTGAAGCTGAATTTGAATTAATTAGGTCTCGAGATGCTAATGCCCATGTGGTTCCCAGTCATGCGGGTGAGTTCGGAATTTTATTTACTTAGCTTATCCTTGATTGATTTTTGGTTTTAATTGTTGAATTTGATTTTAGTTATAGATAATTTCTGACCTAGAAAGTTTTTTTTTCTTTAACCTGAAAAATCCGCCACTCCTCCCCTCCCTTTGTTGTTTCATTTAATTTCTAATTCATTGTAAGTGCAAAGGAAAGGCTCATTTCATTCCATGATTATATATATAGTGGTCCTCTATAACTCTGCAGGCTGGTTTTCTTGGATAAAAATTCATTCATTGGAGGAGAAAACAATGCCATCCTTCTTTAACGGGAAGTCTCCGGACAGGACCCCTGAAATGTACATGGAGATACGTAACTGGATCATGAGGAAGTATCATGCAGACCCCAACACTCGTATTGAATTGAAGGATTTGTCCGAGCTCTCCACTGGCATGTTGGATGCAAGGCAAGAGGTGATGGAATTTCTGGACTACTGGGGCTTGATCAATTACCACCCTTTCCCTCAACCTGATTCTGCTATGAATGTGGATACTGATGTAAAGAAAGCACAAAAGGCAGATTCATTGCTGGATAAGTTGTTCCGGTTTGAGTCGGAGGAAACATGGACACCAGTTGTCCCCAAGACGAACATGGCTCCTCAAGCCCTGACATCTGGACTATTTTCCGAGTCTACTTTGATGGAAGAATTGGCGAAGTCTGAGGGACCTTCAGTGGAGTACCACTGTAACTCTTGCTCAGGCGATTGCTCCCGAAAACGTTATCATTGTCAGAAGCAGGTGACATTGGTGTTATCTTTTTTGCAACTTTTCTTCTTGTATATTAAGATTTTCAGCTGATTGAAGCAACACATTTCATCATCTAAAGATGCAGAAAGTTCTTCTTGATGTCGGAGAGTGCAGATTAGTTGCATTCAATCTTGTTCTATCTGCCTTTTGCTATTCTTTTTCTCCTCTTTGTATGACTCAAGGGAAATCATATCTATCCAACACTGTTTGGAATTTGTAGTAACATTATAAGCATTTCACTACAGGAACCGTAGTTGTGAATGGTCTTGACTTTTGAGCTATGCTTTTCAAATGTGAACTCTTTCCTCTGTGCTGATTCGATATTTTCTATACAGGCTGATTTTGATTTATGTACGGAATGCTTCAACAACGGAAAATTTGGGACTGATATGGCCCCCTCAGATTTCATCCTCATGGAGCCTGCTGAGACTGGGGGTGCAAGCAGTGGAAAGTGGACCGATCAGGAAACTCTCCTGCTTCTTGAAGCATTAGAACTTTTCAAAGATAACTGGAATGAGATCGCTGAGCATGTTGCAACAAAGACAAAAGCACAGTGCATCTTGCATTTTGTTAAAATGCCTATAGAGGATATGTTCTTGGATGAAGATAACAAAAATGATAACATTTTTGATATTGACGGCATTTCTGTTAATGATGACTGTTCTGCTTCTAAAGGCAGCCTTGAGGGAACAGAGAATAAGAATGATGGAAATGAGAATCAGCCTTCATCACCCTCGATTGTAACTTCAAAGCAGGATGATGTAAATGATTCAAATGCTAAAGAACAATATGGGAAGAACTGTGCACTTGAAGCTCTTAGGGAAGCATTTGTAGCTGTCGGCTATTTTCCTTCACCTGGAGAACATGTTTCCTTTGCTGAAGCAGGCAATCCTGTAATGGCATTGGTATGATAGTTTTTTCCCCATTCAATCTTTCTTGAGATGGACTAAAAACTCTGTTCTCTATGAAATTTTATTCCAATCCATGATATCCTGAAAATATTTTGAAAGAGATGTAAGATTGCATCCCTCTTCCTTCCTCTAAACTCACACGATTGTTAGGAAGAAAAATAATTTTGACCCTTTTCCAAATCTATTGGGACTCGTCCAATGTACTGGTGTTGAGGTTGTGCACACATGGTTCCTTCACCTGGATCCACTTGAATACACCAAAAAGTTCTGCATGTGGTTGTGCTATTGTTTGATATAATTGCATCTCCCAAATTCCAATTATGTTTTTGCATGTTGGGCAAATGATGATATCCAAAACGGATCTGCCCCCAAGACAGCTCTTCTCCACCTTTGAACACCCAAGACATCTTTATTATTGCTATTATAGTTTATAGAGTGGGAGATTAAAATTCCATTTTGGAAATGATGCTACTTTAAAATAGCAGCATCTGGAATTTCCCTTTATTCTAGCAAAGGTCTCATTAAGATTTGTGCGGTGCATTAAGCTTAGAACCAAATTTTTTCAGATATGTGAACCAAACTATGGAACTTGTTTTAGCCATCTAATAACTCTGTTTTTCACCTCAGGCAGCTTTCCTAGTGAAGTTGGTGGAATCTAATGTAACTACTGCTTCAGTGCGTAACTCTTTGAGAGCTGTTTCCGGCGAGCAATTAGCGGCCAGGCACTGTTTTCTTTTAGAAGATCCTCCTGATGAAAATAAATCATCTAACTCTGATAGGTTTGTGAACCTTTTTATCGGAAGTTGTTAACTAACTAATATTGAAATGAATAATATTATAAGCGATGCTTATAAAATATGCAGAGCTGTCACTGAACAGACTGAGCCCGAAGCACAGCATGAAGAGCCTACCTCAGAAACTGGTAATATTGATTTGTCTGTTGAACAGAGTAATGAGAACAACC